ATTTAGTTAAAGATCATTCCATATTCAAAGTCAACCTACCACACAAATGATTGCTATTTCACATCTCACACACAGAGTCAAAACTCACTCACAAGAACTTAATATGTGTAGTGCAGATAGTACATGAAACAACCTATACCAAGTACTCCAAATAAGTTTTAAACAAAACTAATAGAAATTGTATTTACTATTCATTAATTGCATTAGTACTTGATCACAAAATATGATGTCCAATGACCCCACTTAAAAACTCTACGTTTTTTTTTAATCTTTCCCATTTTTTTCATTTTTATAATAATAAAAAAAATGCAAAACAATTAAAATAAGGAAAAAGTTTAGAATGCATGCATGAATAAGTAAATATCAAGAACAATGCAGATGCATGAACATAAATACTTAATCAATGAGACACACAAGTCTTCTTACCATGAAGAGCAACGTGACCAACACCACAATTAATAACATCACTTTAACACTTGAGTTCACTGTTTTTTACCGAAATCTTCTTAGAAGAAGATGTAATTTTAGTCAATTAAGTCATCAATTCAATCAAGTGACCCACTTGATTAGTCAAGAATTTAACATGAGTAGTTAGATCCTGTTTGTAATTCTTAATCAAGGATTTATGGCATCTAGGTCTAATGTGATATAATTCACTACAATTGTGACAAGCAGGAGTAAATTTAAGATCTACTCTAGGGAGGTGTTTGATAGATATTATTGAGGAAAGAATGTATTTTAAATAGTGATATGATGAGAAATATGTGGTTAAAAAGTAATGAAAAGTTATTGATGTGATTGAAAGTATTATTTTATTGAAAAATGTATGGTGAAAATGAGTTTTGAAAGAATGTGTGTCAAACATGGGCTAGGTTTCAAATTTTGAACTTTACGTTGAAAAGCCCTATGTTTTATCTTATTATTCCTACTCAACAGTTTGCGACTCCGGGGTTTTATGTGTCCTAACCCTCCATAGTGGTGACAAGTGGGATGAACCTAAAAGCTTTTGTCCCTTAGGCTTGATCGAGGCAGGTACAAACTTACTTTAAGAAGAGGAAGCGATATGAGAATTTGTTTCATTATCGCCTAAATCTCATATAGTCCCATCTATTTTGTTCAGACATATCATGTTATCAATCTTTTTAGATTCGCTAGAGAAGGATTGAAATTGGGCCTTTGATTTTCAAGATCATTTGTAAGAGTTTTAACCTTAAATTCTAATGACTTAATTCATTCAATCCTTTGGTATAGACTCATTAAGTTTAATTACGAGGCTCTTTTTTCTAATTCAAAATTTTTCAATCTTACAAGTTGATCTATTAAACTTATGTCACTTCATACTCTCCTTATATAGCTGGTTATAAGCCTCCCAAATATTCATATTACACTCAGATCCCGAATCAGAAAATGATTGAATCATCTAGACAAAATTTTAGGTCAAAGATCGCTATTAAACTCTGATACCACTTAGAGTGTTTAAATTGGTCTCATAATTCATACCCAAATGCGGAATTAAACCAATTAAAAGCAAGAAGCCACTTATTAATTATCTTTAGATGATTAATGTAATTAGTTCAATTAATTTCTATTGCTAAACAATCACAATCATTAAGATCAAAACAACAAATAAATAAATAATGTCAAATATGATCACGGAAGAAAATCCCAATTCTGGATTAAAAAAACCTCCGGGCAAACTTGCCAGTAAAATCCACTAATAAAATTTACTTGCCATTAGTTGAGACACTGTTCAACTTTAATTGCTCATTTGGTTGTGCACGCCGCAATTCTCACAACTCTGAGTTACTTTTCTCTTTGAGTGAATGAATAAGATCGAACATCGTCCATGAGCATCAAAATTCCAAGCGTCTCTTTCTAAAACTCCAGAATTCTGAAAACTTATTGGAGAAGGTAGGGTTTTTTGTTTTAGTGCTTGATTAAAGGTCTTTTCAGTGTTATTTTTGAAACTTTCTTTCTTTTTTAAAAATAGTTTTGCATTTTTGCTTGAGTTTAAACAATTAAAGCCAGGATTATGCTTAGAAGAATTAAGCAAACTAATTAATTAAGTGAAAACCCCAAATGCATTACCACATATTCAAAGGAAAAAACATTGATCAATTAATTATCAAACATCAAGGAAGAATATTATCAAAACAATTGGATAGGGCTGGACATGGTTTGATTCGGTTCGATTCTTGAAATTTTCGGGTATTTAGTAAGTGGAACCGTCGGTCCAAATTTAATTATGGAACCGTTCGAATTCGATTTCATTCGGTTCAGTTCTATTCAGTTCCCGAGTTCCATACAATCATTAATTTTTTTATATTTACAACAATACTATATTAATTCGACTATAACATGTTCAATCTTAACTCTTACAAAATAATGCAATCCAGTCTGATGACATTTTTTGCACATTTCTTTGTTGAGTTCTTCATAAATATGACTTTTAAAATCATAAGAAGAGAAAGATAGCGATTTCACAATAATAGAACGATGGAAATAATACTACGGTAGAATAAGATATTTGGGTAAAATTTAGGTCAATTTGATTAAGTTTGGCTTAGCTGAAAATTGAAAATAATAAAATTATATTTTATATTTGAGCTAAATTAATTAGTTAGCAAATTCATTTAGAAAAAAATAAAATAATTTGACTTATTTAAGAAAAAAAATTTTAAAAAAATTGGAGAGATTAAATTCTTCTGTTCTAAGTCTAGAACCGAGAACCGACCCGAACTGAACCCATCGGTTCTTGAAATAAAAAACTCGTTCGGATATTTAATTTAAGATGAACCGCTCGGTTCAGTTCAGGTCCAGTTCGATTCAATTCGATTCGAGAGTTTTGTCCAACCCTACAACTAGAAAAACAATTACCCAAATTCATTATGAAATATCAACATGAAAAACAATTACCCATAATCAAAGAATTTGTTGGTTATAAAATAACAAATTTCACTTATAATGGCTAAAATTTTATTTTGAAAAATTTGTCGACTGTTATTTTCAACAAAAGTTGTAGCTTCTAAAAGTGAAATTATCGTAACATATCATTTTTTAGTCATTTGGCCGAAAAGGCTCATAAAGAGACTTTTCCACATAAAAATTTTCATTGTTATTTTTAGCAATTTTTATATAATTATAGGATTAGAGTGTACTATATTAGGGGGGAGATTTTTCTAATTGGCCTGGTTAATTGGTCTTTTTATAAAACAAACTAAAAAGTCTATATTACCCTTAATGAAATGACTTCTTTGATTTTGCATAATATATCATTCTCTTTATTATAGGTTTGAAAATTAGTCTTGTCTTGTATTTCTTGTATTTCTAATTTTAATATATAGTTCAATTCTATGATCTAACAAATAAGAGTAATCTGTAACATATTTATCATGTTCTTCGTTAAATTTCTCATATT